TGCCGGAATTTATATCAAAATTTTTGTCTTTATGTGCCAAAGGAGAGTTAATGCATGTGCAAAGTTTAGTCTCTTTAGCTGCATTAGTTTGGAGTTAACAATTTTTTCAACTTCCGTCTCTTTGGAACGGTTTTCCTCTATGCGGCGTCAAGTTTGCAAGCTTCTTAAAATCGAACGCGTACTGGAGTTTACCTGAAAATCTTTATCGTTGTTTTCCAAAAAACAGCTGACGCATGTGCAAAGTTTAGGACCTCTAACTTCATCAGTTTAGAGTACATCAATTTTTCAACATCAGTCTCATTGGAATAATTTCCGCCCCTGCATCCTCAAGTTTGCAAGCTTCTTCAAATTCAATGGAATCTTCGGTTTGCTTAAGAGCTTTCACAATTATCTGCCAAAGTTTTGTCTACAAGCATGAGAAAAGAGTCTCGTTCGATGAATTTTTTGGAGAAAAAAAGTTGAAAATTTCTGAAACTTAACTTGAAAATTTGGCCTGTGACGTCCCAGTGTCTGCTTGATAAATGTGCAAAAGTTTCAAATCAAGCAGGTTTCTCAACATTACACTTGCTCTTTGTTTTGTTCCATAAACCTCCCAGTTTAGCACGGAAGTATTCTCGATCAACACAAAAAAAGTCCAGCTCTGCACTGTATATTTTCTCTCTTTCGAAAATATATGCCAAGGCTTAAAGGAGCAACAACGCTACACATAGAAACTGATGATGGTGCAAAACAACGAAACGTATTTTAATTGATAAATAGACAATAAATGACTGAAGCCCAGGAATTAATTTTGATTTGGAATTTAAATTCAGAGCAAGCAGAGACTTGCTTGTCGACGACACCTTGGGGCAAACAGGCAGACAACTTGAGGAAGATCGAAGAGTAACTGGAAGTTTGACAATTTTGCAAAGCTGATGGTTCAAAGTGAGAAAATACTTTAAAGTGGCTTGTTTTCGAACGTCCTTCTGCTCTAAACCAAAAACAGTGCAGAGCTGGATTTTTTTTTGTGTTGATCGAGAATACTTCCGTGCTAAACTGGGAGGTTTATGGGACAAAACGAAGAGCAAGTGTAATCTTGAGAAACCTGCTTGATTTGAAACTTTTGCGCATTTATCAAGCAGACACTGGGACGTCACACGCCAAATTTTCAAGTTAATCCAAGATCACGGTACATTTTCAGAAATTTTCAACTTTTTTTCTCCAAAAAAATTCATCGAACGAGACTCTTTTCTC